GCGTGTCTACTCATGATGCGGAGGAGAGAGCGCTCAGTGCACAGGAGGATGGACTTTATAGCCAAGCCGAGCGACAAAAAGATAGAGATGGCAGAAAAAAAAACTAAAGAGGAAACCGTCTGCAGAACTATAGAAGGCTTATGATGAGGCAAGAAGTAGGACCCTTGTACGAGTGTTAAATCCATGCACATGTTTATTTACAAATACCTGTTACTGAACATACTAGGACGTCCTGCACTGACGAAATCAACAAACGTCTGCAGGGCCAATCAAAAGATGTTTTAAATTGCAAATCTCAAATCGGAAAAAGGACGCGGAGGGAGCATATGGAAAACTCGTGAGCTGATATTCTGACAGTGTTGCAGAGCAGTTGGCGGGGAGCAGCTGGGGTTTGGACGGTGTATGAATAAATGATGAGATGTTTTGGAAAGCAAGTGCCCCAATAAAACCTCTAAAAAGATGTGCGGGAGTCATGGCGCTGCTCTGTAAATATCCTATTGTTCATGTGTAAATCTACCCATGCAAAACTAATAAATTACACTCAAAGGTCAATTACGTGTCCATTTGTTCATCACATCGAATAGCCATCAGCTTTCATTAAAGGGACCGTTTTTACTTAACCTCATGTCATTACAAACCTTTCGTACATGGAACACAAAATGACATTTGAAAAAAGTCCACAAAAAACATTTTCTAGAGGTTTAGGAAGATTTGTTATTATTCATGGTGGTCCAAACGAGTCTTACAGTCCTTGCGCATTTCTGCTTTTGCTTTTCTAATCGGCAGTCACATTCTATCTTCCTTCCTAATTGTAGGGAATCAAACTGATTGTATCAAAAAGTAGTTGGGACACCAACAGTGTCCTTCAATCATGAGTGACAGCACATAGATCCTGTGAAGTGCTCCTCAGAGGTCTGTAACACATCAGTAGTTCTCACATGTCTCGTGACACAGTGCAATATTTCAAATTAACCTGTCCAAAGAACATTTGTTTTATAAATAAATGGTCATTTAAGTGCTTCAGCGTATCAGCGTATAATGTTATCGTTACCCCTTACGACTCCGATGAGGTTTTGTTCCATCCTCCATGCGGTGCCAAGAGCGAAGCAATAAATTATATTTTAAAGTATATTAAAATAGAAACCATTATTTTATATTGTAATAACATTTTGCAAGATTACTGTTTTTGTTTCCGTATTTTTGATCAAATAAATGCATCATTGAGGAGCAGAAGAGACCTCTTTGAAAACTTTACAAGTCTTACTGATCCCAAACTTTTGAACGCTAATATATAAGAAATGCGCAATATTTTACACACAAACACACACATATATATAAATTTTTTTTTTTATTTTTTTTTCTATTCAAACATACAGATACTATATATATATATATATATATATATATATATATATATATATATAAACACATAGAGCAACTTTTCATGATGCTATTTTAGTGGTATTTAAAGGTGAGGTATGTATTTTTTCAAAAATGCTTTAGAAAACTGAGTCGGGCC